GCAAATTAAGTGAACTGTTTTCCTAACCTGTTTCTCCAGGAAATGGGCCACCCTGGTCCGCTGCTCTTTTGGAATTGTGGGTAACACCTTGTCAGCCATTCCAAAGTCCCTCCTCATTACAGCAGTCTGGTACTCCAGGACGGAGACTAGCAGGGAGTAACTGACAATATTGAGCTCCTTGTCTCCGAGGTACAGACGATCATCTTTGGGTATGTAACCCAGTAAGTACATGGTTCTGCAGGGAGAGAGGTAACAATAGATGCACAGCAATCAAGATAACATTTAGAAGATAGCAGGCTTTTTTCAGAAAATTCAAATTCAAGATAAATCTCTGTTTAATTACCTGTCCAGATGAGCAATGGTGACAATCTCTCCTCCAACATAGTAGTTAAGTCTATTCACAGAGCTGGTGTAGATGAAGCAATCTCCGACCCAGAGACCAGTCTTCACAATCTCCTGGATCTCTCCTTGGACCTGGAAAGAGACAACAAGGACACAGAGAATAAGTATGGAAAGTAAAGTGAAGACAACATTCTGTCTTTCTAAACAAATGGCGCCAAACTGACACGTTACATGTTAGATAACTGAATATTTTAGCACATAAATACAGAAATATACTTTTGCACACATCCACACACCCACCTCAAAGGCATCTTCAATACCATCCTCGGTCACCCCTTCATTGTTCTCATGAGAGGCAGCTACTTTTTCAGACAGATAACGCAGGATGAAGAAGGACTCCTCTGTAGCAATGCAAACCAGCTCACCAGAGTCTGACCAGAAGATCTGAATAAATGATGAAAAAGATGAGAGAAGATGTGAATCAGACAAAGTGACTGGTCAGTAAACAGAAACAATGATGGACATCAATCATTTGGTAAGCCTGTCTCACGTGTTTCGGCTGGATCTCAATGCGGCGGACCAGCTCCGTGTTCTCCCAGTCGTAAAATGCCAGGCCATTCACTGACCTCACCCCCAGCAAGAAACCTCCATAGATCCCTGAAGTAAATACATGAACACATCTGGTGAGGTAAACCGTTGACTTCCAAAACCATAATCCCTCCACACATCAGTGTTCTCATTACCTTCCGCTCCAAAGTCAGGTTTAAAAGATTTTTTCTCTTTGAAATTTTTGAACAGTTTGACGACACTGTTGCTTTCTCTGATGGCATACCTGTAATTCAAAAAGTGTTGCAGTTAGTTCTCAACTCTCTGGTACAAAGATAAAGGGCAGGGAAGTATCTCTCTTCAAACTGCGTACTTACTCAGAGGAGTCATGAGCCCAGACAAACTCCTGAGCTGAACCGAAGCTCTTGTTCCTCAAAGCCATGGCAGTGTAAATTATATACTCTCCATCTCCACAAACCACAACGAACCTGGTGTACGCAAACGTTTATAAATGAGTGACAGAGCTCCTCTGATAGAAATCTTATTGTATATCCATCGTTTATCTGGCTGCAGATGACAAACATTGGGAGGCTTGAGTCTGTGTACCTTCCGTTAGGGTTATGCTGGATGGTTTGAGGGTAAATCTCACAACTGCCCATGTCTTTGACAGCCAGTGGCAGCCTTTCTCCATCCTTGATTTCGGCATCACCCATGGCCTTCAGGTTCGCCTGCTGTATTTCACTGTGTTTGGCCCAGATGATTTTGCCATTTGTGTCCATAGACATGGCTGGCTCCTCACGACCCACCTGCAAAGCAGAAGAAAGATCAAAATAAAAACAGATTTTTGTTATATTTGATCATACTGTAAATAGTTGGTTTGTGCACAAAACCTAAATGTTTATTTCCTCCATATTTAGCATTTTGTGTGTTAAAAAAGTTAAGTATAGTTAATGTTCTTCAAAATCAAAAGGACTTTTTAAGAATTACTCCTTTCTCTGCTCACCTTAATAATGATGCTGCCTTCGTCGTAACCCAGCGCCACATTGTTGGAGCCCCTGAGGCCACTTACACACCACACTCTCTCCATGCCATAGTTCAGTGTACTCTCCAGACGGTAAGTGCTTGAGTGCCAGATACGCACCGTACCTACAGAGTGAAGAGGTAATGTTACATAAAGCAAAGATCAGTGAGATCAAGACAGAGATGAAGTGTGGTGATGTTTGTGTGCAGAGTGAGAACAAGTGGAATTCCTCCTCACCATCCTCTGATCCAGTGATGATGATGGGCAGCTCTGGGTGGAAGCTGACACAGGAGACGTTCTGGGCGTGGCCCTCCAGAGTTTGAACACAGGTCTTGTTCTACCACACACAGAGGACGACAGTTGAAACATTATGAGGACACAATGCTAAGGCTCTATGATCAGTGTTCTGAAGGCAACTGACCTTCCCAGACAAAGAAGTTAATAAAAAACACCAGAGGGGAATCATAATGTTTTCTAACCTGGTAGTCCCAGATCTTGACTTGGCGATCATCAGCCCCTGAGATAAGGTAGGGCTTGTCTCCTCCGCTGTAGTAATCAATACAATTGACTCCTTTCTCATGGCCCTCCAAAGTGAAATTGGGAGATGAAGAACCAAGCTGCCACACCTGAAACAATCCAATGGACATGACAGAGAATCACTGAGTGTGTTTCAGAAACTGTTTCCAGAAGTAGCTGCAGTAACTTTACAGTAGGTGTTAATTTTTTAGGTACATTAAAATTAACAACAGTAAGTGGTTCCTACCTTAATGGTCCTGTCCAGGGAGGCACTGGCAAACTGATTATTATCCTTGGGGTTAATAACAATCTGCATGACATAGTGAGTGTGACCCTCAAACACCTGACTGCAGGACCACTTCTTCTCCCAGTCCCACAGCTTGATCAACATGTCATCTGTGCAAATGCAGAAAGGCATTCATGCATTAGTGAATAACTATATGTGCATTTGATAAAACATGTAAAGAGAGGAAAGTTCAGTGCGCCACCAATTATGACAATCGAAATTTACTAGCGTACCACTGCTAGTAAGGATGTATGGCTGGGTCGGATGGACAGCGATACAACGAATGTAGTCAGAGTGGGCCTCAAACATGTGGACCCGCTCTAAGGTGTTGTAGTTGAACACACGGATCTGCATGTCATCCTGTGTGACGAAGAAAAAAATTCAATACCAAGTGAAAATGTTAATTATCTTGATAAACACAAAAGTACACAAACGATTAAAAAACCTTAGCAGTTGGTATATGCTGTTTGATTTTAACAAAAAGACACAAACACATAGCAACATGATCAGATGTCAAGTTGAAGCATAAACAATGTGATGGGACACCACAGCTCAACATTTTATTGCACTTAAACCACAAACAAGTTAAAATCCATACTCTCTTAGTTTACAGAACTATTCAAGTAGACTCACCGCTCCTGTGATGACCCAGTTCTTCCTTGCCACAAACTTAGAAGCTCTGACGGGAAGGTCACACACTTCAAAGGTCTTGACGAGAGTCTGGGAAAAAACATTTCAGACTGGGATCAGGTTTGCAAATATGACGGTTTATCAACTTCATCTCTGATTGTATATTCAGATAGTCATTCTCCCCATATGACACAGAATAAGGAACTCGTGACTGGCCATCGTACCTGTGTTTCGTGGTTCCACACACAGACGCTGCCGTTGTAGAGACTGGCCAGCATCCATGGCTCAGTGGGATGAAGGTCCACACTCTTCACCCGGTCTGACCTGGCTGTCAGCCTCCGCTTGATGTCCAGCCTCAGAGGCTGAAAACACGGAGGGCGTCAGTGTCTCTTCATACATTGTTCACAGTCTCGGCTAAAGTGTAGCTAAGTATTTGATGATTTGTTGCAATAAAAACACCCTGACGTCAACGTAAGCACCAGACTAAAGCGATGGTAGCTGCTAGCATGCGATCAATGGACCGGATACATACAATATCCCGAATAATTTCATAACTGTACATCGTATAATACAAACATTTGACAGCGGACTCAAAACAAATGTCAGGGTCTGTGTTAAAGTCTGCAAACAGCAAGGTTTCGACATGTTAATAGCAGTTAGCCGCAAGCTAACTAGCCGCTAAGCTATTAACGAGAGTGTATTATTATTTGACAATGTTTTCAGTCATTTTCGAAACCGGGAGACTTGCAAGACTTTTACGGAAACAAAATAAGATGTGAAGTGTTGTTAAATGCGTCCTACCATATTTGATCCCCGTGTTGTCGCTATAAGATCTGATAAATGTAGCAGTCGGTGTCCAAATGTTGCGATTTCAGTGAACAGGGACACTGACGTGGAACTTCCTGAAACGTAATCTCGCGTGAGTTGCGGTGAGGAAGTGTTGACGTGACACGAAGCTGCTGTTTGTCTGTGAGCTGCTGCATCGACGAATCAAAAGTCCGATCAGTTTGTCTTTGTCATAGACGGAACACCGAACAGGCCTGTTGGTGTTGGAGCCATGATCAGGGCCCCGAAGAGTCAGGGGCCAAAAATAAAGACACCAAGTCCATGTTATATGTTAACATAGGGTAGTGCTACTTTATATCCTTCTGTTTGTTTATTAGTGACAATGTGGGAGGAGCGTCATCAGTCATGTTAACTTTTGCAGACATAGAAAAGTTACATGTAACTTCTTTGCTATAGAATCTGGCCTATTTTCAACTATAATGTTTGTATAATTTCCAAGGTTTAGATCCACTGGTGTCATTGTTTTGTTTTTTTTAAATCAGAGCTCACCTTAACTCACCTCACTTCCAGGGTAATACTACTTTTATCCAGCAGATGGCGATTTCAGCAATGGTTTATAAAGTATACCCAATTTCGTAAAAACCTTCATTTTCTCTCATGAAGAAGAAGAATGCTAAATCATGTAAATTACAAGTGATTTCAAATATATAGAGGTGTGATTTTTGACTTCCTTGCTGCCTTGTGCCTGGATACACTCGTCAAAAAGTCAATTTGCTTTTCCTGATGGTGAACACCTGAATTCAAAGTGGATTCACAGTAGTATTAGTATGTTTACTAGTATGTTTCCCCCCCATTGACACACAACGCAGCATGTTGTCTGAAAACTGCCTTTATTCATTTTGTTCAAATGTGGGAAACATGTCACTGAGGAGCAAGCAAAGACATAGTTAACTGAGCCAATCAAAACAAAAACAGATATTTGCACGTATTCTATTCTTTTTTCCTGAACACCTGAAGACAAACTACATCTTCACACGTCAGCTCCTGTCAGCAGAGAGGAAAATGAATGTGTTAATGCCATGAAGCAGAGGGATTCGTAGAATAAATGGCATTGAAAGTGTTTAAACTGACAAGAAAATAATCATATTCGACTGTATAACACCCTACTAATCCAATACATGGTTATTATTCTTTATCAATTCCATGTTCTGGTTTTAATTACCAGGACCGACACTGTCAACTCACCAGGTAAAGTTTATCTCCGTCCATCCAGTGCTTCCAGCCTCGATTTGCTTTCTCTCCTTTCTGGGTGCACACCAGCTTGTCACCGTCCCAGTTTACCAGACTCTACAAGACAACATATGGATCTGTATGAATGTGCTTTTGATTTGACATGTTCATAAGTACGCCTGTGACTAAAACTGCCTGAGTCCACCTCACTGATTACTTTTACCACTCACAATGTACTAAACGTTTCAGTGTGGAGTCTCACACGTTTATAGTAATTGAATTTACACCATCAGTCACATTTCATTTTTTAAGGAATTTAAAAACACCATGTTTTAATTTCTCCCACAAGCTCCAATGTCATGAACCCATTTCTTTACCCAACAATGGGTGGCTCAGGGGTTAGAGCGGGTCATCCACAAACCAGTGGGTGGTTCAATCCTCAGGTGACACTGTACCCCAAATGGCCCCTAAAGGCAAGTGTGTGTGAGTGGTGTGTAATAGAGAAAGTGCAGATGGTCATCGAGACAAGAAGATAATAAAAATACAGATGTGATGATGTAATAGATGACTCTAATTTACTGTTTTCATCCGATGAACCATTTTCAAGCCATTTTGTTCAGGCAGGAGGTCAGTTTGAGAACATCACATCAAATATTCTAGCCTCGTTTACCCCCTGAATTTCAACATGACTTCCTGTCACTGGAATCCAGTGTAACCTCCCATCCTTGTTAATCTCTGTTCATTCATCATTGACACGTTGATGGTTTTTATCTCTGACGTTACACTTGCTCCACAGAAAAAAAGGCTCCCTGGACACACTTAGATAGCACTGCTGTTATCACATAAACAACAAGGAGGAATCCTGAAAATTAGATAAACTATCACCCTCTCCCGACACGTCAAGGTCTCCTGACACGCGAGCCTGGCCCACCTTGATGTTTCTGTTGTCGAGTCCCTTGGTGTACTCGTCGAACTCCACCCCCACAGTGAAGGCCAGCTCATAATTCCTGAAGGTGCTCAGCGTTTTGAAGTCAAACTTGTCTCCGTCCTGGGCGACCACTTTGGTCTGAGACAGGGAGATGGCGATTTTCCTCGTGGCAAAGTCAATGTCTGGGGTCAGAGGAGAGAGACGTGGTTATTCAGAACAGACACATCACTACATGAAAGAAGGAACAGAAAAAAATTCAATTCACTGATGTCTGTGTTCAGTGTTAAGTAGAGAACACTTCATTTTTCTTGGTTTATGTCCTCTATGAAATAGTTGAATAGTTGAATAATACAACAGTTGAACTCAACACGAATCTGTAGTGAAAATGCATTAACTCAAGGTTAGATTGGAGCAGGAGAACAGAAACACTGCGGAAAGAGTGAGAGAGCATGAAATTGGATGGCTTTGTTACTCGTGCAGCTTGTTCTACCTCTCTCATCACCCTGTAACTCCATTTCACCACCGAACAGAGACGACACAAACTAAAATGAAACCTATTTACAATGATAAAAGTTTCTTACTCAGTACTTTCAAATACTCCTCAAATTTCTCACTGGTTTCCAGTATCCATTTCCCACTGAAGTCTGCAGGCATGATGGAGGCTGGTGGCACTGCTGTGCGTGTATGTGTAGACTTTAGACAGTGCAAAGAGAGGGATGGTGCACGTTGTCCTGCTTTTATGCGAGATAGAGTCAGGGGGAAGGGGGGGGCAGAGAACTATTGATAAGTGAGTTTATAGCTTGAAGAAGATTTCCAGGGGTTATTATTTGGGTAAGGGAGGGGGGAGGAGTCACCCTTTTTCTTTGGGTCTTTGCCTGGTCATTGGGGTCGTCTGGGTGTCCACACACCCACACACTCACATGCAACCACCACCGCTCTTTCACTCACATGTGCCCGTGCAGGTGTTACTGTGGTGGTCCATGTGCGATGTACAGATAGAAGAAGCTGTTTTGTAATGTCTGCCAACAGTGAGCTCTCTCTATTTGATCACTTTCCGAGGTAAACTCAACCGCTCAACAAGAGGAGCTGGACTTTGAGCGTGAAGGTTAATAAAGTTCAGTCTTGCAGTGAAAACTAAATACATTTCAGACATTTTTTTTATAAATATATATGATGATAAATGAAATAGCTCAGTAAGTTTTCCCCCAGGCACATAAAATACAATGTTTTTGAATAATTATTTTTAATTCATATGGTTTAAGAACAGTTTCTACCATCACCAGGCCGTCAGGTTCCAAAACTTGCAGTCAACACATGACTAACAACCCTCTGCACATCTGTCCTCCTGCCTATTTGCACTTTATTTGGAAAAATGTTGTAAAGTTGTTACAAATGTCACACTGCACCTTTGAATGTATATAGTTTTAGTGTTGTATTCTATTTGACTTTATGGTAATAAGCTCTTTTTTAAAAAATTGCTTTAATATTAATTTAACTATTGCACTGCTGCGCTGATGTTTCTTCTTGTCCAACACCTTTCATTGCACTGTTGACCCTGAGTTAACTTTCATATCACAAAGAAACCATAATTATCAAAATAGTTTTTAGTAATTAAAGTATATTTCTTAACAAATCCATTGAATCAAATCCCATGTTCAATACTGCTTATGGCTGCTATTTATTCTGCTATACCTGGTTAAATCTGAGGGTCCAACATTTACACTCTGGATCATATGGCATCCAGAATATATTAACATGAATCTACAAATGTAGCTGCTCCACACATATTTCCATCCTCCAGTGTTTGATAACTACTTGAACTTCAGGACACAAGATGGCTCCTACTTCACACAAACTCACAAAATTCAGTAGAAATGTTTTATTAAGGATAAATGTAAATGTAGTTCTTTTACTCCTCTGGCATCAGACTGTGTTTGGACCCCTCCCTGACAGCATAATTCTTTGAACCAGCCAAAGCAAGAGCAGGGGAGAGATCAATAACCCCCCCCAAGGGAACCATAAATAAACAGAGCCTGCAGGTATAGAGGCCTGGGTAGTGGCAGGGTGTGAATGCACAAGAAGCAGCAGGAGCAGAAAAAGTAAAGAACAAGTTGGACAGCTTATATAAACTGCACGGTTGGTAATGGCAAGGCCCGAAGTGAGCTGACAGATTAGCTGATTCACTGCACAGCATGGCCCCAGTTCTCTGGCTGAAGCTCAGAAGGCTGCACTTCAGTTCACTTCTGAAATCTTCAAGTTGAGGCCCTCAGATTCCTCAGGCACATCCAGGAAAAGTCTTTTCGGATAGACGAGGATCCAAACGTAGGTGAATAAGAACATTTAATTTAAAGCGTTTGCGTCGTTGTATTACAGGAAGTGGATCTGCCAACCAAAACAATTGATTCCATCCATCCATCATCTATACTGCTTTTTCTCTAAGGGTTTCTTGGGAGGAGCTGGACGTTTGGGCAAGAGAGGACAGGTCACTAGTGTATCACAGGACCAACATACAGAGACAAACAACCATTCACACCCACATTTACAGTTTAGAGGCCTCAAATTGCCAAACCTCAAACTAGAGGAAGCCACAGTTCCTGAAGAGAACCCACGCAGACACAGACTTTAAAACTCAAGAAAAGCACAACCTGCCTTAAACAGGACTCAACCCAAGATGCTTTTTTGCTGTGAGGCAACAGGGATAACCACCTCACCACCAAATAAAAAGGTACTCCAAAAAAAAAGACAGATGACTTTGTTGAGAACTAAATAATTTATTGATTGATTCTTTTATACTATCAATTGCACAGTCCTAAAGGATCTGGGAGGGATATATATACACATCTGATTTCCATTCTGTAGAGACTAAGCTTCAGTAATCAAGAAATTTTAAGTCCTTAACCAAACTCAGATCATTGTCTTCCAGTCCAAGTAAATGGGAGATTAACCCTCTTGAGTTCTTATTTCACTGCTCTCGTCTCTTCACTCTGTCCATAACTGTGTCAGTCTACCCTGAATAAACAAATACAAGAGAGATAGAACTGTCTTGCTGCTCATTTCAGTGTGTTGTGTTGTGTGTCGTTATCAGCCGGGCTCACCCATCAGATCAGCTACACCTATACATGCATCCAACACCCGGTTTAAAGTGTTAATCAGAGGAGAACCCACTTTGAGACAGATATGGACAGATACTGTATTTCATAATGTTACATGATACACACACTGACATGCACTGTATATGAAACTGCATTTACAACGAACTAATACACATGACAAAGGTAGATGGATCATGGAGAGATGCTGAAATGGCACAAATGGAAGGTTGGGAGTGTGTGTTAGAGGCCTGGGACATGTCTGGTGTGTTTGTGTGTGGACAAGCGTCAGCCGGGGGCACTGCCTCGTCCAGTAGGAGGCAGCTTAGGTCTTCTTGAACACCTGCTTGCTAACAACTCCCCCAGCTCTCAGCTCCTGTAGGAAACAAGAGGGAGAGAGAGGGGAAAAAAGGTAATTTAGGGAAAAAAGATTTTTGACGGATAAATCAAGATATTCTCTATTCCACCCAACCTGAAAGGTGCTTCTGACTGAAGGTTAACATTCTAAAAGTATTTATGGGCTTGGATAAGGATGGGTTAATGTTAATAAAGGATTTGTCACAGACATTTAATGTGATGTCCACATTTAGGGTATTTTGAATTATTTCCAAGGCGGTAATTTTTTTCGTCTGTTTGTTTTCTTCCTTGTTTGTTAGTTATTGTGGAGGGGTGGGACATGACCTAAGGAGGAACCCATTACATTTTGGTACAGTTTCGGATCATTCAGGAATTCTTCCCCCCCATTTTTCAGCATTTTCATTGATTTCTCAGAGAACAATTCATGGATCTTGGTGAATAAATCAGCCATGTCCAGGGAACAGATATTTACTCGTGAGTGCAATGTGCAAAAATCTTCTCTCCTAGATTAGAATGTAGTTACATAAGGGGACTTTTGGGCCTCTGCAGAGGTATTTGCCCTTCTAGTGTTACTCGTTTCCACAATGAGATGTGAAATGTGTTTAACAGTGAAAAGAACCAATTAAAAACCACAAAGTTACACTGAATCTTTAGATTTACAATAAACATCAGCAATATCAGTAATTCATGGTTTCCCTTGACAGTGACAATCGTAATGTCTTGCATCCACTAGAGGTCACTGTTGCTCCACATTCAAACCCTCCTCCAGCTCTTGGGAATTTTTTTACTAACAACTAATTTCATGGCAGCTGATTGAAAACATTAGTCGGCTCCACTTAAACCAAATACATTGGCTGGTAATTTTTTTCTTAACTTTGATAGCAGTAATCATAGAGAGGTAAATCTGATAATGCAGAGCTAATGAAAATGGTAATGCACCAGTCATTACATTAAATTCTTTTTGGATGCAAATGCTTTTCATTACAGGGCCACACTGGGGCCACACTATGAATAATTTCACAGAGGAGTTGCTTGGAAAAAAAAAGCTCCTCAAGTCCCTCTAACAGAAAAAAGTTTTGCAGAGTCAAGATAATAATACGACAGAAGTTGGTGTTGGTGCATGCTGGATCACTGGAGGTCATGAAGAAACAATACATTAAAATTATCTTTTGTATTATTCAGCATCAATCTTTTTGTTTGACCAGGAAGAAAAGTTTGACTTGAGAATGTATGAAACTATATTTTTTCCCTTGAAACAATGTTGATGTGATTTCCTACACAGAAATATGATTCATATGGCAGTATATGACCCCCCCCCCTTGTAACCTTGATAATCTTCATCTCCTGTGTTTATGTACCTCACACAGTATAATGTTGCTAGAGCTGGTGGGCAAATTCATACTGGAGTCACACATGAAAAATATGCACCGCGCATACAGCGCTGAGAGGCATTTTAGATTTGAATTTAAGTGACCAAACTGCAAACATTAATATTCATGGAAGGAACCGATGTTTTCTCACCAAATAAAGCTCATCTCCTTCCACCCAGTGGCTCCAGCCTCTTCCTTCGATCTCCCCCTTCTGCACACACACCAGCTTGTCTCCCTCCCAAGTGATAGTGGTCTGCGTACGGGGGTCAAAGGTCAGGGTGAGACACGCGATGCGTCAGTGGGGGATTTATTTAAACTTGACAATGTAGATGCATGATTTAAACATATGTAATATGCAGAGTGAGAGGCCCAGTCATTTCCTCCACACACACACACACACACACACA